CCTGGCGTAAGGCCGAACGAATTCTTCGGGTGAGATGAGAGTGATGGACTATCCGGCACTTTCCGGGTTGGAACGCAGCACCGCCACCGGCAGTTCTCGAACCACCTCCGCAGAACGACCTTCTCTTCAAAAACCATCAGCACCTCCTCTCTGATGTCTTCGTCGTCACACAGCGGAATTGACGGTTTGAGACTTTCAAGCGCTGTACGTGAACGTCAATTCCAAATTGATTCCAAACACAAATTAGAGTAGGCACAGCCTCCATCAGTGGCGCCAATCAACAGCAATCTTACTTTTTGCGACCGTGGAACACGAAATGCCTATCAGTGGTGCGGCTTTGATCTGAAGATTCACTCGAACGTCTGACAATCAATTCACTCATTGGAGCGCCAAGTCTTTCCGCTACGTTGTACGCGTAGGATTATGCAGCACAATGACGAGAACGGCTTGGATGTGACCTTGGGACTTGTGCTGTTTTTGTTTGAGGGCTCCTTCTATCCGGACTCCGCCATGGGCGGATATTGACGCTGCGGGACGGTGGCACGTTTACACGCGTCGAGTAGCTTAGCACGAGTCGGTTTGGGTGTCATCTATGTGTTTGAGGACTCCAGAGTGCTCTGGTATAAAGCTGACACGGTCTGCAAGTAAGTTCTTCATTCTGCCTCTTCATTTGCAGTCTTTCTCATCCCGCTTCACTCTCAACCTATCCAACAACGATGCATTTCATTACCTCTTTTGCTGCATTGATGACTCTTGCTTTGGGCGTTGTCGCTCTTCCTAGCCCCAACGTCGATACCGTACGGTTACGTTCTCTACAGAGAGCAACCCACACTTACCTTCGTTTTCTGCAGGGCATGGTCACGAAGCGGGAGACCTCTTATGGCAATCCCGACCTCGTCGTCGACCAGGGCGACCGCTGGAAGCTCAACTTTGGCTCCACTGACGGACACCCCAATGCCTGCCCGGGACACTGTCAGTCATTCGTCCGTCTTGTTGAATATATGAAGCTCACCCCATTTATAGACATCTGCTACATCGGCAAGGGCGGTAGCAGGCATGGCGACGAAAGCTGGGGCAACCCCACGACATGGTCGATGAAGGGTAGGCTTTCTTATGCTCCGTGGCGCTGAAGACGAGACTGATTGTATTTTGTTAGCGACCGCTGGCGCTTCAACTATCCCAACTCGGGCGATGGCCCGTGTGGCGACCATTACATCTGTTACTACAACAAGTAGAATGTGAACGGCGGCTGTTGTTCTTCAACCTACTTACTTTTCCAATACTTCAATGTTTGGACCGTTATAATTATATTCTTTCATGACGACGTACGTTTCTCTTGAAGTGAAGGATAAGCATCAGACAGTGGCCGACTGACCTCATGTTCGGAACGGATTTATGTTGAGGTTTCCTGACGCTTCATTGGCATTCTGCTGCTGTTGACATGTCGGCTCCACGTCCTGGACGTAGGAGGAGGCATCTGGGGTGCAGCTCGAAACGGTGCTGCCATGTTCACCCTTCTTTATAGCTTGACCAATACATCCACATATGTCCCAACTCGGATATTCTCATTTCATGCAGACACATGATACTAGGCTTCGTTATCCTCTCTCTCTCTGATTCCCTAGTTCCGCTTGGACCCGTTTACCAACCTGCTGCATTTCATGGTCCAGTTTCTATCGGCGACATTCAAAGAAACCACGTACGGAAATATAATCCCTCTGGCATTTTGTTCGCAGCTTCCGCGAACGAGAAGAGGATGAGCAGCACATCAACGGCGATTCAAAGTCAAAGGCTACTTATGCGCATGAGAGAAGTCAACCTCGACGCAGCATTTTTGTGCTCTACAGCAAGGCCTGAAGAGAGGTAAGTCTGTCAATGTTGAAAACTGCGAGTAGGAGGCGAAGCTCAAAGGTTGAACCAGCCCGCCTACACTTGAGGCTTGTCAGTCTCGGGACCTGACCTGTAAGTCTTGTCGTTCTGTATCAGTCAAAGAAACGAGACCTCGATACTCTTCCAGAATCCGCAGCCGTATTCGTAAGATACTTCATTGGACGGCGACAATCTATAAAATGAACATGGTATTTTACAACACCAAGATAATAGCTGTGGAGAGGGAACAGGTTCCCATTGCCCGTGCGTGTCCAAGTTTCAAGACAGCCAAAGTCTAAACTAATGACCTAGAAATACTCCTGTAATAGATGGCGTTAGCAAACGTTAACCACTATCAAGAAATCTCTACCTTGAATGCTCGAGGCGGAACGCAGGGGCCACTGCCTGGAAACTGCGAAGACTACAGCATTGTTTCGAACGTTGCGAGTCTTCCCCGACGTGATTCGTATGGCGAGGTACATCCCATCGTCAACTAGCGTGTTAAAGATAAACCTCTCCTCGTCATCAAAAACATGTGGGACAGGATCGCCCTCAGCTTCCCGATGTATATCGTCCATGAGATGCTGTGCCTGCACAGCAAAGTGGCACGTCCGAAGCCTTGCCAGCCCAACCGTATCGTCCCCCTTCCAACGCGCCTTGAGCGCAGAAGCAAAACCGCCAACCGGCCCAAAATACGGTACGAACCACGAGTTACGATGATTGAAAACGCGAATGTCCAGAGACGAAAAGTGTGGAAGGAAGGTAACCGCTTCCGTCGGTATAATCTCGAGGGATGTCGCAATCATGACTATTTGTTCCCGGTCGCTAGCATCTGTGTTATCACCGTATTCATGTGCCCTTATAGTAAGCTCGAGGACAGTGAGATTACATGTTTGCAAAAGTAGAGAATGGAGGGTATGGTCCGGCGAGACAGCAAGGGGCACACTAACAAGCGAGAGGCTAGTGAGACCGTTCATACAATTGGAACGAGTGAGCAGGTGTTGAAATGAATACAGGCAATTGTGCTGAGCCGTGTTAGGGTCGGGAAGAAGGCAAGCCTCCCGTAGAAGAGGAAGCGTGAGAGCGGCGGGCACCGTCATGGCAGTGAGCTTGAGCACATTTGAATACGAGGTTGGGATGTCGGATGATTCGGTCTCGTCGTCGTCTTCCAAATCCCAGAAAGGTGTAGACAGGATCTTGAGCGATGGAAACCCTTTGATTAAACGCATACAGGCTCTGTGCTCCTCCTCAGCACCATCAATGACAATAGCAGAAAGGTCTAGCTCCGTGATTTGATCCCACGGAAATTCAACGTCCAGCATACCTCCACTGAGGGCCAGTTTTGTAAGACTAGGACAGTTTTCAAAGGCAGGCACCGATGATTGTTCCTGCAGCGCGAGCGGAGTAAAATAGAGCGCCAACGACTCTAGACGAGGAAGCCGATTATGAAGTGGCGCATAGAGTATATTCCAGCCCACGCACGAAAATGATAAATGTGCCTTCCGCCATCGATACGATTCGGCAAAGATATTATCCAGCATGCGCTTTGAAATCGAGGAGTCGAGCATGACAATCCGTCCATCGACCTCGTCGTCGGTCAGATATACGTCTAGGAGTCCCTGATGGGAACGCTGAACGACTGCCTCCAAGCGCTGCACGTTTGATTCGTGCTCCGCTGGAAAATGAATTTCCATAGTCGACCAAAATGATTGAAGGGACAAAGCGATGTTTCGCCATCTCTGGCAAACGTGACTGAGCCGCCATATGGACTCAGACGCGTCAAACGCGTTGGGTTCAAGGTAGCTAGAAAGTGTGTGAAAGGAATATTTCCGACCAAATTTCTGAAGGGAGTGTGCGATGCAAGGAAATGAGATTCGTCCGGATGTTTATCAACCTCCGTTGCTCTTTCTCCATCAACCGGATGACATTTCGAAGGGGTGAGAGTTTCGAATCAAGGGATGAAATGTCGTCGGAGACAGTAGGTAAGATGGTGTGTCGAATGTGCGTGACCTCCGGAACAGTTGCTGGGAAATGGAGTCGTTCAAGCAGCACAGAGCTCTGGTGTTCCTCTTTGTGATGAAAACTCCGTTTAATGAAAGCACCGCAATTGGGGCATTGGGACGTAGTCTGCTGCATTTCGAACGCAGACCGACGACAACCAAACTATAACAGAGAAATTCGCCTATTCAAAATAAGTTTTAAGGGCGCGTTTTTCCAAGCGAATAAACACCTGTATGCCCTACGTGATTGAGAAAGACCCTCGCAATGTTAGACGGTGGTGATGAGCGCGTTGGAGAGCCTAATGAAGTGCCTGAAGATGGTGGTTTGGACAGTACCCTTTTGTGATCGACGACATGTACGTAACTTGGTTACTAAAAGGTTACTGACCTGCATGCGCGTCCTCGCATGGTTCCTGCAGATTGTTGACAATGTGCTGCATGTTGACCTCCTAGGCCCTCTTGTTCTGTTCCTGTATACGGCGAGCCAGAATGCTGATAACATGACAAAATGATCGCTTAATTACTAGATGTGTAGATGGCTCACGAGTCACCGGTCCAATAGTTCACCGTTGCGACGTACGCGTTCTTATATTCCTCCAAGGTCCAGCTTCGTGAGGAAGCAGGCCCTTCTTTTCATACCCAACCCTTGGCCTTGAAGTGTACCCTTTTGCGTGACCTCAAGTATTCACGGGCAATGTACGCAAGTCGTCGGTCGAGTCACTTCCGAAGCGTGAGACGGAGCGAGGCTGATCGTGATTCTCAGTGTACACTCTGTCGTTGCAAACATTAGTATGTAATAGTGGGGCAGTCGAAGAAGAGGTATAGACTCAGAGAGCACTTATATACGCGTTTCAGAAGCCTTCTTTGCGCTTGAAAACCTGCTATCTGGTGATGATTGTGCGCCAATCTGCAAGACCACTCGCGGTGTTAAAGAGGACTGGAATTGCCATGATGTCTAGGGCGTCCATCTGGGACCTGGCCAAGTTCTCTTTTTGTTTTGTGGAGAATGTATGTAGGGACCGACATTCTTCATTGGTTCAGTAGAAGGAGTTTCGCCACCAATGATCAGGCGCTCTCAAACCTAAAATCGTGTACACTGAGTGTCAAAAAGCAGCAAGGTGGCGTGCAAATAGCCCACCGCGAGGGTCGAACTCGCAGCCTTCAGATTTTATGATCACATTTCGCGACCGACATAAGAGTCTGACGCTCTATCCGATTGAGCTAGGCGGGCGATGTGTGGCGTAATTCACGTACATTCCTGATGACTCTGATAAGTATAGGAAATTTCTGCTTGTCTTCACGAACACCAATATTAAGGGAGATTGCTTCACTCCGTTCGATCTGGTTTTCAAAAGACTTTAATCAAGCTACTTTGACGGAGAGGACACTTTGTATGTGATTGAATCCAACACTCGACCAACCCCATCAGATACTCTAATAGAAGGGCATAACGCATGCGACTGTGGTCTAACATCCCGACGAGTGGGAATGAACGCAAAGAAAAGGTATGCAAACTAACCACTGGTACTCAGGCGAGAACACAAAGAAGACGAGGTTTATGGTTATAGATAAAAATCAAATAGCGACATGGCATTGAGAGCTTAATACGTTCTGTGACCCCTTTTCAAGTCCTTCTCCTCATCAGCACCCATAAATTGTCCACGCAAGACGCTAACCGCATCCCGGAACTCTATCGTTTTCAACGACCGCGGGAGCAACCACCCATGCAATGCATTTGCAACCTCCAAATATTCCAAACACGTCAGACCTGACAGATCGAAGGCCACTGCAAGTATATCAGCATATTGCAGTAAGAGAAAGGGAGAAAAAACGAACCATTACGTCTCAGAAAACTCAGCTTCAAATCCTTCAACGTTTCCTTGTTCCGTTGGAGAAGCGAAATAGCCTCCTCGACATGGCACGTCGACCACGCGCTAGTACTCTCCAGCTCCAGCTGCTCCAACGTCCCCACGACGTTATCTCCCAACCAGCGTACGAGGTCATTATTCCACCCGATTAGGCGCAGACTGCGTAGGCGGGGCATGCCCAGTGCAAGGTTGCGCAACCCAGACAATGATGCGTCTGGCAAATCCAAGCCACCAGATGCAAGCTCAATGTCGAGCGCAGTGAGCCGAGGGAACCAGCCGGAAAGAGCGCGTATGAAGCTCATAATATCCTGATATGATGCACAGGTCACTTGGAGCTCGCTGAGATACGGGAAATGCTGAGCGAAGAGCCCAACGAGTGAGGGATCGTTCTCCACAGCGCCCGAGCGAAGCGCGACATGCTTCGCTTTGAGCACCTGCAGCAACTTGCGATAGGACTGGGCATAGGCGGATTTGCCGTCATCGAACGGTACGTCGCCAACGAGCGTTATGCCGGTAATAGACGAGGAGAGCGTCTCCCGCGATGACCGTAAAAGTTTGGTGAGGGCTTTGGAACGGGCAGGAGTTGACACCACGAGCGTAATCCGCGGAAGGTGGCAGCGACTTATGCTGATCCAAGTGGGGTGGACGAGTGCACAAGATAAAAGGGTGGCCGTGTCATCACCAAGATGAGCAATGATAAGGTCTAGTAGCTCTTGCGGTAGAAGCCCGAAAGGACCTGTACTCGCAGAGGAGCGATGAGAGTGAACAAATTTGTTGATGATGTTGCGAATGATGCTGAGAGCCATGGTAGTAGCGATAAAGAAGGAGTGTACAGTCGAAATTCTTGTTTATAAACAAAACTTGCTATAGGGGTCTGCGCACTGCCTTGAGAAGAAGCAATCGAGAGTCTTGCAAAGTCTCAATACTCCATGTCCCTCGGCGTTCTATATCCCCGAGACGGCACCTAAACGAACAACATCATTCAAAGAATTCACCTGTGCGAGAAGACCTCGCACCATGATATTTCTAGGCGCAGGCTGCGATGGAGCCATGGCATGGTAAAAGATACCCGCGGCGCGTTGTACAACGTTCTCACACGTCGCTCCACAATGCGAATCAAGCAGAATCACTGGGTCAAGGGGAACTTTGATTGGGAAACACAGCCAAGTCTCAGTACGATTCAACAATCGAGACCGGTTCAACGATCGAGGCGTTCAGAAACACTACACTGTGCACAGGAAAGAGCACCTATTTCCAGACAAGAACGATGTTTCACTTCTGCGTCACAACGTCGCAAATAACATCTGTCGGAAAATATCGTTAGGGTACGAGGGGGGACTTGGTCTTTAGATATCGAGGAGGAGCGTGACGCCTTTGATAGGCAAGCTTCGCTTTGCGGAAGAGTAAGTGCGTCTGCTCGAAGTGGCATGCAGGATGCGCGGTTTCAACAGCGTCGGTTAGTGAGGTATTAGGCATTCCGAGCGGCGGTCAAGTTCAACAGGAGAAACTTTGGATGGTACTGCGCAGGTTAACAATTCACGTACAAAGCATTTTACCAGCTCCTTAAATCCGCGCCGAACGTCGCGTACAGGAGGGTGTTAAGAAAGATAGTGTGTAGTCGTGTCCTGGGATCAAGTACCGATACTATCATCGACTGGTACGAAGTGAATGTACCAAGTGGATCATGTGTGAATCCCGAAATCCATTCGACGTGTCTTCATACCGGTTTGCCGGCGATGAAGGAGGAAGATTTTCAGAATTTCACGCGATGAAGAGTGTCAGATCCGGGAGATCACGGCAACTGATGTTGGTCCGTGTAGGCTGCTTCTATGGTTGTCGAGATGAAATGACAAGTGAAGGAGTTGCATGTGGCTTTTTTGATTCTATCTCAGTGGTTTGGTGAGGCATACGCGGTGCATCTAACTAAACGTATGAGAAACAGTAAACCATAAACCATAAGTAACGTACCAGCATAACACGAGACGTGTTCTCTGCCTCCATATCGCGATCAAGGACTTATCAGAGCGTAACTTGGTTGTGACGCCGTCCAAGGTTTATCCCATATCCTTCGTCAAGAGGAGGCACTGCGGTATAGGCTACGGAAGAAACGCGACGGTCTTCGCTGAGCGTGAACGGGGCTACTGTATGCACAAGAGGTATGGAATCGTCTGACAATTCTGGCGCGCGCGATTGAAGGGGTGGCAGTAACAAAATAGGCGGAGCATCACTAGCGAGAGGCTGGAATGCATGAATGGTGCGTATAAGATATATCTCATCCGGTAATCTGCGTATAGTGTGAGCCACCCATAAGATAAGTAACGCGTCAAACACACCTTGATAATTGAGAACCATCATCCTACATCCCGCAATATCGCTTCCCCTCTTTAGGCCAGTCATTGTTCGCGGCTCACAGAAGTCGGAACCGTCTACGGCAGACCAGCCTTGGAATCCATCGCGGCGCAGCGTCCGACGTTCCTCCAATGCCCGTGCGTTCGGGTATTGCTGAAGCCTGCGCGCTATAGGGCATGGCGACGTAGAAACGACTTTCAAGGGACATATACATGTATCCGCTGTGACGGTGTCCATATCGCGTGCAAAGGCTCGGAATGGCTTGTGCAGCGAAGAGGCGGCGGCGGCGATGCAATAGGCAGGGTGCTGTGTCTACCTAAAATCAGACGTGTTTAATCCGTATTTCAGGATTAACGAACAGAGCTCGACCGAGTATGAAGGAGAACGATCAATATCATTGTTATAAAATAATAAAAATAGTCCATTTATAATCCCATTGCTCTCTATAAAGATGGTCCTTCAAGAAGGATACATTCCTGCAGATCGACATTCCTTCCCATGCCAGAGGGAGCCAGCGCGCAAACCGCGTCTCGTATAGATAACTTCTCCAATGACCGCGGCAGCAGCCGCCCATTCAGCGCTTCACTCATATTACTCGTAACCTCCAAATGTTCCAGATGCGTCAAGCCTGATAAATCAAAGGCCACTATAAACAGATGAGCATCTCGTGAATGAGAAGAATGCAAATACTGACCATCGCGTTTCACAAAGCGTAACTTCAAGTCCTTCAACGTATCCTTATTCCTTTGGAGAAGCGAGATAGCCTCTTCGACACGGCATGCCGACCACACGCTAGTACTCTCCAGGTCTAATCGCTCCAGCGTCCCCACGATGTTATCTCCCAACCAGTGTACGAGGTCGTTATTCCACCCGACCACACGCAAACTGCATAGGCGCGGCATGCCCAATGCGAGATCGCGCAACCCAGATAGTGATGCATCCGGTATATCCAAACCACGAGATCCAAGCTCGATGGTAAGAGCAGTGAGGCGCGGGAAAGCACCAGCAAGCACGCGCATAAAGCTGGTGATATCTTGGTAGGAGGCGCAAGTCACTTTCAGCTCGGAAAGAGCGGGGAAATAGTAGGCAAAGATTTCAAGGAGTGATGGATCGTTCTCCACAGCACCCGAGCAAAGCGCGACATGCTTCGCTTTAAGAACATGCAGCAACTTGCGATAAGACTGTGAGCGGGAGGATTTGCCATTCATAGCGCAGTCATCGAATGGTACGTCGCCGACGAGAGTTATGCCAGTGATAGATGAGGATAGGGTCTCCCGCGACGAACACATTAGTTTGCACAGCTCCTTGGAACGAGCAGAGGAGGATACGACGAGGGTCACAGGCGGCAGATGATACCGGCTGATCCTCGTCCAGGCAGGGTGGACGAGTGCGCACGATAAAAGGGTGACCTTGTCGTCGGAGAGGTAACCAATGATAAGGTCAAGTAGCTCTTGCGGCACAAGCCCAAAAGGACCTGTGCTCGCAGAGGAGCGATGAGAGTGAGCAAATTTGTTGATGATAGTGCGAACGAAGCTGAAAGCCATGATGGTAGTGATATAGAAGGAGAGAGAAGTCGAAATTTTTGTTTATAAACGAAACTGGGTATAGGAGTCTGCGCACTGCCTTCAGAAAGAAGCAATCGAGAGACTTAAACGTCTCAATACTCCATGTTCTCCGACGTTCTATATCCCCGAAACGGCAGCTACACGAACAAAATCATTAGAATTTATCTGTGTGAGAAGACCTCGTACCACGATATCTCTGGGCGCGAGCCATGGCATGGTAAAAGATCCCCGCGGCGCGTTGTACACACGTCGCTTCACAACGAAATCCAAGCAGAATTATTGGGTCAAGGGCAAGTTGATTGGGAGACAGCCAAGTCTCAGTGCGATTCAACAAGCGAAACCCGTTCCACGATCGAATGACGTGCGGTCAAATATGCCGGCGACCTGCAGACCATATCGCGTTAATTAGAGACTTCCGGTGGAGCGAAGAGGCCGTAGCAGCATTGCGA